CGTAGACCATGAACCATGGCTCCGCTGGGGGGCGAACCCAGTACCTTCTGCGTGTAAAGCAGACGTGCTAACCGCTACACTATGGAATCACATCCCATTTGATTCTCTTCTTTATTCACTTTGTTTATTCCATTTAATATACTTCTCATCTCAGATAACGTGTCCTTCATTTCGGACTGGTTCACTTTCATAATTTTCACTTCCATTTTTATGTTTATCTCTTTATTGAAATTTTCACTCAATTTATCTACACTTCCCAAAAGTTCACTGAGCATCTTTATAATCAGTGTTTTGAACTGCGCATCTGTTAGATTACTCGACTCCATTATTTTTGGATCTCTATTCTGTTCTCTCATATGATTTCTGCTTCTTTGTCTTCCCATTTTGTCCGCCTTTCTGTGTCTGTTTCTATGTACTAAGCAAAGCTCTTAAGCCTCTCGGTCTTATTAGTGTGGATTTGTGAAGTAGGTGTCCAGTGGCACAGTCCTGAGGGGTTCAGCGCAGGCCAAATTTAGCCCAAGCCTCTGCCCCTCCGAGGCCACCTGTTAAGATTAAGCAAGCAATCCACAGATGCTGTGCTTATAGTTGCCTCAAAAGGCCACACCAGAAACTGAGGCCAGCTGCTTCCAGTGTGAGTCTAGTCGCTGCTCAGCAAGGAGCACTTGACTCGCTGAGGATAAACCTGGATGTGGCTTGGGTGGGACTGAGTTGGGGTAGGCGGGATTTCAGAGAATCCTCTGGGCAGAGCGACCTCTGTTATCCAGTTTGATTACCTGAGGGATTTGGCAGTGCTGTGTCCGCACCCTGGGATGGGGGAGGGCTCAACAGGGAATAATGGACACCGCCGGCACTTCTGTATGGAGCAAGTCTCACCTCGGCCCTCACTCCAACAATGTCTCCCTGTCAGTCCCTGGTGCCCCCTTACACAGCTGAATCGGCACCGGTACTCAGAGCAAGCAAGTCCATCACCGCAAAAATCCGCTCATAAATGCAGCCCCTTTAAGAAGCGTCCGCCTCCGCTGCTGCCGCTGCCACAGCCTCTGTCTTAGCCACTGGAGACCTGGCAACCCTGCGTCCTCGGCCCGTCCTACCTTCTGCGATTGCAGGGTGATTTCTTGTATTTCTCCCTAGTTGTATAGCTTGTTCCTCTAGATCCCAGGTGATTTTTCCTTGCTGTTTGCTCCTTGTTTCCATCACAACTTTGATTTGGTTGACAGAGGGATGAACAGAGCATCTATCATTTATGCCATTTTCCCCCTCATTAGCTGTTTTGAACTGTCCATATCTCACCGATCCTTCACAAGTGTGAATTCCCCCAAGCTAACTGAAATGTGTCTTGTAACAATGTATAATCAAAATACTTACATACTTAAATCAATAAATTTATACCTCACATGAAATTAGTGGTAAATTTATTATGCAGTTTGAGAAAACCAATCATAAGGAAGCTACTTCTCACACTTGAGAAGCATGGTCAATTTATATTAATTTATATTTCCAAATCATGTTTGACAGTGTTATTATTGTCAGATCATTGAAGACTGATTTCAATTTATGCATATAGAAGGCAATCAAATATTTACTTTCAAATAGAAATATTAATATTTTTGTAATTATGTGAGCAATTAATGTAAATAAACTTAAGAAAATATGAAAATGTACTGGAGTAATAAGAATGAAATTTAAGTACCTGGAGGAGATGAAGTAATATCAGAGTTGTTATTTAAACAATTATTTGTTTGAAATGAGAAACTCCTCAAGGGGATTATGGTGAAAATTCTAAATATTATTTTAGTAAAACTACAGGCTAACAAGAAAGTCATTTCAAATATTTTCCAAGAGGTATGTGAAAAAATTAAGCCCACAATAGATACATGGGGATTATAATAACAGAAGAGATGACATTCTGGTTTAAGAAATCTCACCTCTTGATAGCAAATGATATCTCTTTACTTTCTCCAAATTCCTGGCGATAGGCTCCACTCACCATACGATCATTAGCTTTATGTTCACCAAATACCTTTTTCATGGCATCTGTGATTTCTCCAACTGTACACCTAAAATATTACATGGCAGTTCTATTAACATCATTATTTGAGATAAAAATATTTATTTACATTAATATTCAATCTAATTAGACATTTTAAGTAAAAAGTAGGCTGTCAAAAATCTAAATAAGTTTTTTACTGCATTCACGGAAGCATCTTTCCTCGGAATATTAATAGAAATTATTTTAAGATGGCTTTGCAAAATTTGTCAAAGAAAAAAATGACGGATCTAAAAACTATATAAACATCTAAAGGTTACTTAATAATCCAGCACAACAACATAAATGGGCAAAGAGCAAGACTCTCACTGATATTTTTTGATGAAAAGTAAATATTTTAGCATATTCCATCTATTTGATTAATTCAATCAACATGTACTGAGTACTAATATAGAGTGAGTGAGATACGCTGATATATAAAACTGAAAAAAAAAAAGGTACGTGCTCTTATAGAGCTTATCTTCTAGTCAGAGGATACAAACTATAAATAATATACACGCAAACAAATTAATAAGATAATTTCATATGGCAATAAGTACTATGAAGACACTAAAATAAAAAAATGGAGTGGGGTAGCTAGGAAAGCTATTTTAAGGATACTGAAGATATGAAGATATGACTTTTACACTAAGACTTAAATGATAAGAAGGAGAATATAAGGGGGGGAGTATTTGAAAAAGGAACCACTAAATGCAAAGTCTCTGAGAGGTCATAAAACATGTTTTGTATTCTAAAAAGAAAGATATTGGGGACACAGCATAATAGTTCAGAGGTAGGCAAGTCATATCCATCATGGACTTGCAGGCCATGGTAAGATTAAGTTTTAATTTAAAAGGCATGGGAGACCGTTGGAGGATTTTAAGCAGATGAGTCATGGTACTTAAGAAATTAAAACTGAAAAAAAACCAACCCACACACTATTTACCCATTAAACACTTTTAAAAACATATTGAAAAGTTCGTTATCTTAAGCAAAAATACTAAAAGCAAAAATAATTTATTTAGTGACATCATCATATATTGGGGGGAAAGTTTCTGTGGGTCACTCGCTTTTCTACACGGCAAAACAGTGATGGCCCTTTATTCTGGATTATGTCTTCAAAGATGTCTATATAGTGAATAGCCTTGAAAGACAGACATATAATCTACCTCTGGACAAAGGGCAAGTTTGCTTACTGTCCAACATAATGTCTCTCTATTCTTGAAAGCATATCGAACTTCAACCTGTAAATCAGTGACATGGATTCATTACAGTAGTGTCAAATATCCTGAGCCTCAGGGAAACAAACAAGTATTAATATAGTCCATTCAAAATATATGCATATTTGAAATGCACAGATGTTTAAGGAAAACAAGACTTCATTTCATTTCTAATATTTTATTTTAGAATAACATGGTTTATAGGATTAACCTTTTATTTTAATACACTCTGAAAAGCTAAACTGGTCAACTTCTGTCTGGAAATCTCCAGACTTACATATCCTCACCTTGCACGAGCTGCATCCACTGCAAGCGCCAGAATGTTCCCATCTCCACTGGCAGCACATTCAGTAAGCGCAGCAAGGCACCGTTCAGCCAAAGCTTGGTCTCTGCTAGATTTGACCTTAGGGAAAAGTCAAGGAAAAGGACAATTTAAGTGAATAGAGACTAAAACAGAGATGAGGAGATTAGACCCTGATATATATCACGTAGAAATTGTTCCATAATTCTAACCTCAAAAACAAAAGGAAAAAAAAAAAAAAGAAGAGAATATATATCCTAGTTCTGATATTCCTTTAATTTACTCACCTACACATTCCATATACATTTAAGGACTTCCTAAAATAATGCTAAATTTTGTATAACCTTGATAAATCAAAAGTGAAGACAATGATAATCATGCTTTTCTAATGTAGCAAAGCACTGAAAACAAGTGGCTCTTTTATATTAAGAACTTAAAAGGCACACTAAAGATTACAGTGACAAGAAGAAAAAAGATTACAATTTAGAGAATAGTTTAGTTGCATTTTAAGTTTCTCTTAGCTAATTAACAATCTTTTAGTAATACTATGTATGCATATTGTTATTTTTTGTATTTAAAGATAATCTCGGGGTGGGGGGGGGGGCATGGCACGTGGAGAAACAGAGAAACAGAGAGACAGAGAGACAAAGATCATGAGAAATATTGCCAAAAAAGAAAGACAATGAAAAGCATGTCAAAAACTTTTACCCTCAGGTCCTAGCTCTGCTCTGCTCTGCTCTGCTCTGCCAACAACCGGTCTAAACAAAGTTATCTAAAATCCATTTTTTAACAAGTTTTCACCACCTATAAAAGTTCAAATATACTGCTCAAGATGTTACTAGAATTACATAGCATCTATAAGCAAAGGTGGACCAGAAAATTTATATGAAGAGCAAGGAAAAATCCAACTCCATTATTAAATTTCTCTCTCTTGCCTGAAATATGGTTTATCATCACTTATTGTAAATGGAACTCCTCAAGCTTGAGGGTATAGAGTTAATAAAAGCCTTAAGTATAAAAGAGAAAAAGGTTTCCCAAACATAATAAATATTGAGGCTTTTGTGAAGGTGAAAGAGAAAATATCAGCAAACATCTGCCATAACTCTAACAGAAAAAAAAAAGACAATAGTTATGCATTCGATATAACTGGACAAAGTCTATCAGATTTTTAAAAAACATTTGAACTGGGTTGGGTGGAGGGTAGTTCCTATCTTAAACAATCACAGGGAAAGTAAACAGAGAAAAGCCATTAAAGAATTTCAAGTTTCCTGCCTTAGAAATAGCAGTAATTACAAAAGCCAGAGATTAAGAGACCAAGGTAGCTTCATAAAATAGAAATGTATAGGTTATAACAGTATAAATTAATGTTTTATCTAGTTTAGTTATTTCATATAATTTAGATCACCTCAGTGAAAAAGTGGAAATAAAAAGGAAAGACAGTATTTTAGTTTCCATCAAAATAAATATAGTTCATTATAAACTGTAACTTACTAAAGCACTACCAAATACATTTTAATTAAATAAGAAAACAAAACAGAAGGCAAATGATTCATAGTTGTATCAGAAACCATGGTCTAGCGGCAATAAGTTGCCATGAGAAGCCCTGGGTTCAAATACTGACTCTGAACTTTATTTTGTTTTTAACTTTCAGTAAGTTACATAATCATCTAAGCCTCATTTCTAATCTGTAAATTATGGGAGGTATTAATATGGTGTGGTTTTAATAACATAGAAGTTCCCCAGTGGTAGATATCATAATTTAAAACATGAATTTTTGATGTCAACAGCCCTAGATTTGAGTCTTGGTTATTCAATTATTTATCCAAGTTTCTCAATCTCCCTTATCTTTAGTTTCCTTATCTTTAAAATGAAGGGAAATAATACTCACCTCATGAGGTTGTTGTTAAGGATTAAGCAGGACAATATAAGGGCTTAGCCAGTACTAGGAATATAGAATGATAGCTATTATTACCTTCTTAAGTTTTTCAATCTGCTTGTTACGCACTGAAGTATTATCAATCATCATAACATCCACAGGTTCTTCTTGTTCCAGCTGGTACTTATTTACTCCAACAATTACTTCAGAACCTGTTAATTTCCCAGAGGAAAATAATATGTAGATTCAATTCACAAAAAATTGCCTAATAGTAATAATCTGATCATCATGTATTTTCCTTGTAAGTTTAATATTTTTAAGTAGTACTCTTAACTCTTAATAAAACTTCAGTATAGATCAGCAAATCCCAGTATAGGATGGGGATGAGAAGAGAAAGAACAGGTATATATCAGAATCTCTAAGGGCAGGTTTTTATTATTCTTCTAAACAATATGCTTTTCCAGAGTTTTTGATGAACTCTATTCTAACACTTGTGAAAATCAAAACACTAATAGCAGCTCCCATCTAAGATTTATAAGGTAGCAAATTAACACCTAATAGGTTTTCTAATATTTTCTTGAATTTTCTGTGGCCAATTGCTTTTAAACAAAAAATATTTTAAAATCTATCTATAAACCAAAATTACAAAGACATTTCCTTAACATGATAAAGAATATACTTTGCCTCAAACTTCTAGATTATTAATCTATCAAAAGACATTCTACCACCCCTACCCCAGATTATATGCCTTCTTACTTCCTTCAAAAAACTTAACAAAATCTATAATTATTTTTATTTACTTTTTACTTATTCATTTCCTGTCACTCTTACTAAAATATAAGCTCTATGGGTGGAGAAATCATGCCTGTCTTATTAACAGTTATATGCCCAATCATAGTATGGTGTCTCAAAATCCTAAGACTAAAAAAATATTGACCAAACAAATGAATAAATACTCCAACGCAGAGTACAATGACCAATAATCATGTCTTCTTCAAAATGTTGAAGATTCCCACCCACACACAAGTACATATACACAATGGGCATACCTCCATACAAACTTTGTATTCTTTGTACATGTGCTTGCCCATGTGCATCCATGTATACAAAAAATTCAAACACGGAGATAGATAAATAGAAAAATAGATAGATTTAGATGAGAAACATTTTACCCAGTTTCATTTTTCCGTCATTTCTGTTTTTTTTAACTATGCACGTTATCATCAAACAGAAATTAATATTTATTTTAAATACTGGAATTCATATATAAACTTTTCAACTCTATCCTACCAGAATCTATTCTAGCTTGTCTTCGGGCAGCACATTCTTCAATTCGAAGTTTAGGTATTCCCTCTGCTACAGCTTTAGCCATTCCACCCATTTCTTCAATTTCATTAATGAGCTAATAAGGAAAACAGATTAATAAAATGAGAAGCACATGTGAATATATTTTTATAAACTATGCAACTTTCTTATGTTACATAATTACCAATATTAAATTATTTTAGTGGTATATTTAAAGATTCATAAAAAAATTAACATCAAGAGCATTAATTAAAAATTCTGCAATTAATAATACTGTATTATATACTGGAAAGTTGCTAAGGAGATCTCAAAAAGTTCTTACACAAAAAATTTTTTAACTATGTGTGGTGATGGATGTTAATTAAACTTATTCTGGAACTATTTCACAACATATACTTATATCAAATCATTATGTTGTACACCTAAAATTAATACAATGTTATACGTCAATTATATCTCAATTTTAAAAAAAGAAAGAAATTCTATGCTTAAAGTTGTTTGAAAAGACAACAGAAAAACTAACAAGTATATTCTGGAAAATAAAACCTCTCACGCAAGTCTTGGGAGAGAACTAAAGATAACACCAATTCTCTAATCTTTATTTTTAGTTACATAAATAAAACTTTCATAGTTACATAAATAAACTCTTTAAAAAATAGATTTCAAAATGCAATTTTACTTTTGATTTGAGCAACAGGAACCATCTAAACTTTTAATAACAGCCTTCTATATAAATGAATTGGTGGAAAATAGATGGTGGAATAGTACATGACTTAGTAGAAAGGAGCAATGTCAAACTTGCTTTCCTCTGAAGAATTTAAGAAAGAGGAATCTGTATTGGATTCAAAAGAAGTCAAAGGTAAGATAGGAAGCTAAAAAGAGGGGGACTACGTAAGAATTTGCAACTACCACTCTCCAGTTCTGTCTGGAGAAGCAAAATTTACTGTCTGCAGAAAATGAACTAGAGAGGCAACGCACTATCAAACACCACGTATGGAGAGAGGCAATGGTAAGATGTCTTACTGAAATAAAAACCTGCATTCTGAATAATAAGACTAAAGACAAAAGGCACACAGAGTAAACAGATAATACAGAATGTAAAAAAAGCTTCAAAAGTAAAATATCCTCAGAAAAATAAGAAGAGAGTCTATATTAATGAAACAAAGTAGTATGACATACAAGAGGGAAATTAGAAAACAAAAATAAGCTCTTGGAAATTAAAATTATGATATATGAATTTTAAAGTACTTAAAATTGTTTCAAATTTTTTAATTTTATATTTAATTTAAATTTTAAATGGACAACTCTTCAAGATAATACAAGACAATTTCCCAGTGCTATAAGAACATGAAAAGGGAAAAGATGAAAAAGGTCTAGTACAATGGAGGAACTATACACAAAAAGATACATCAACACAAAAATAAGAAGAGATCCTGAAACCTCCAAAAAGACAGATTCTGAGTAAGAATGGCATCAGATTTCTGAACAGAAATATTGGAAGCTAGAATAAAAAGCTAGAATGAAAAATAGATCAATGCTTAGAGATGTGCTTATAAACTCCCAAATGAAAATAATTTCAAACTCAGACCATCAGTCAAATACAAGAGTAGAACAAAGACATTTTCAAATATCTAAAGTTTCAAATAATTACTCTCTCATGCACCATTTTTAGGAAGTTCCTATGAGATGTGATTTAATAAGAAGGGATAAATCAACAGAGATAGTCAGGATTCAGGATACAGATTTAACACAGCAGAGAGTAAAAGCAATTCCCAGGATAACAGCAAAGGGAAGTGAAAGGACAGTAATGCAGCAATGGTCTAGAGAGAAACCATTCTAAATCAAATGAGAACATTAGTAGACTTTAGGAAAAACTGATATTGAGATATAATTATATTGGTAGTATGGGACGAGGGGAAAAGGGATACGAATCAGCTAAAATACTAAACTATCAGACTAGCAAAGGAATAGATAATGTCTAAAATTGATAAAGTTAAACCAGTATATACATTTCAGTTGACCATTAAACGACACAGAAGTTAGGGACACCAACCCCGTGCAGATGAAAATCCACGTATAACTTTTGATTCCCCCAAAACTTAACTAGGGCCATGCTTCAGTATCCGGGTAGGGCGGGGTATCATTCCTAGACCTCCCCCAGATACTAAAATCCACCGATATTTGAGTTCCTTATCTAAAATGGCCTAGAACAATACATGTAGTCGGCCCTCTGCATCCTCGGATTCCCAGCTGGTGATGCAAAACTCGGGATGTGGAAGACCAACTGCATATTTACTGAAAAAAATCCACGTATAAGTGTTCCTGTGCAGTTCAATCCCATGTTGTTTAAGGGTCAATTGTGATTCTAAAATGTGGAGAAAAAAACAAAAGACGTAGCTAACTCAAAGAAGCGGAAAAAAGTAAGTGGAGCACAGAGGACTACTGTTTTTTAAGCCTTTTAGTACTGGTTGTCTTTTTAACTCTAAACAAAATAACACAAATGCACATGTATTTTAAATTAAGTTTCAGTATCAAATACTATAAAGTCAAATCTCAAATTCCCCTTGTCTCTCATTTTATTAATCTATAAATAATTTGATTTATAAACCTATACATAATTTGATTTATAAATCTATAAATAATTGATTTATAAATCAAAATATAAATCTTTATAAACCTGTAAATCTTGAAAGCAAAGTTTCAAAGAGAAGAAACTGACCTTCAGGGCAGCATCGTAAACATCATTTGTGAGAGATTCCATCATATATGAACCTCCCCAAGGATCAGCCACTTTAGGAATCCCAGATTCTTCTTGAATGATGATTTGTGTGTTCCTGGCAATTCGAGCACTTTTTACAGTTGGCAAACCCAAGGCTTCATCAAAAGAATTTGTGTGCAATGACTGAGTCCCTCCAAACACTGCCGCCATTGCTTCTATTGTGGTACGAATAATGTTATTGTAAGGATCCTAAAGTATTTGATAGGAAAAAAAAGGCAGCAGTTAATATATATAATAGCTATAAAGAAAGATACGATTAAATGTGGCTACTGCGTACTTTCTTTGCCGATGTCTATATTAGGCTTCAGAATATCAAATAAATTTAGACAAATGAGTAAATGAACCAGACTTAGAATTAAGAATCAAAGTGTCTAGTCTATGTTTAGGCACTAAAATATCGCTTCTTTAATCCCTGAAATATGAAACATTTATTGTTTTTACTTTTGTATTGCTTAAATTTTGTTCTCTAAGTATATCATGAATGTATCCTTGTCTACTTAGATCATAATATCCATTTCATAATTAACTTTCTCCTAATTATTTTGTATACCTTGAAGTACCTATCACAAGGATGTACACAAAACAGTCACTCAATAAATGATTATTAATAAATTATTAATAAAACAGATGAATAATGGACTGAGATAGGAAATCTGGGTTCTAGTTTACTGTGTTCCTAATTGTGATTTGGGCAAGTCATTGGACCTTTCTGAACAATTTCCTTAGCTGAAAAATGAGGAGGTTAAGACAAAAACGATTATTAACGTTCCTTCCAACCCTAAAATCTATACTTCTCCATTTATAAGAACATAGTTATATTTAATATGGAGTACGTCAGTTTTTATTCACCTTTAAATGTATAAAGCAATCTAATTTTAAAGTTATAAATTATTTTTAAATGTATCAAAATATTTTAATATGTAAAGGAAATGCATGTTAAAAGAATCACCATACCATTTTTAATAGAATGAAATTAAAACAAGTTACTCAAGTAATGACAATTTTTTAATGGTCTGTTTACAGGCATGCTTATTTAAACATATAACTATAATAAAAAAAGTATGTATAAAAACAAATTTAATTAGGCAGCTTTATGTTATGAATTTTAACTCTTAAAATTATTTGACTATATTTATTAAATTATGATTTGTACTTCTTCCTCATCACATTCTTTTTCACTTTTAAAAAAGTAAAGCAGCACATGTAAGCTGATTTAAATGGTTTCATATTGTTAACCACTAGAGGGAACCAATTTTATTCATTTGTTATGTGTAAAAACAAACAAGTATGAATTATGCTTCAGAATAATTATGATTTTTCAAATATTAGCAGATAGGTTCTTAAATTTATTTCTCGATTTTGCCACGTTGCTTAGAAAAAAAAGAGACTTCATTAAAATTCTTCACTTTAAATTATATACAAACCTGCTCAGTAAGTGACCATCCTGAAGTCTGACAATGTGCTCTTAGAAGAAGAGATTTAGAGTTTTTAGGCTGAAAGATTTTCTCTATTAAGTGAGCCCAGAGTTTTCTCCCAGCTCTCATTTTTGCTATTTCCATATAGAAGTTCATCCCAATTCCCCAGAAGAAAGACAACCTAAAATAGTAATGTTAAGTCCAGAATTTGATTATACTTAATATAAAATGGAAAATAAAACTAATTGTATCCCACATTAAAAACAATATCAGATATTAATTTCAAAAAACTTAAATTAAACTTAAGCACCTCCTTAGCACAGTAGGGAGCGCGTCAGTCTCATTAATTAAAATCAAGCATATATACTTCAGTAACTTTAAACCTAATATATAAAAGTACAGTTTTATGCATATAGAAGAAATAGCTGTGATTATTTGCTTCAGTTAAGAGTTATTCACTTTACAATTGATTTTCTTTAGGAAAGAAGCTCCTCTTGTGTCCTTAAAAAAGTGTTCACTTTCTAAAAACATATATATATATATGTTTTAATATATGTTTTATATATATATATATTTTTTAAGAATAGATATATTGTGTGTGTGTGTGTGTGTGTGTGTGTGTATATATACATATATATATAATTTTAGGAATACTCAAAGGCAGGGGTCACCTACGAAGGAATTAAAACCATAAACTTGCTTTGTTTGGATAGCAATAAAGCTTTTTTAAAAAAAGAATGATTTCATTTGGTCTAGACATATATTTTTCTAATTGTTCCCAACACAACAACTATATCCTGTATACATTTAAGTTACTTGCCTGAGTCTAAATCACAAAGGTTGTGAATCCCTATATAAAACAAGGTGAGCCTCAAGTAAAGAAACTAAAACTTAATAAAAATTCTTGATATACAATTGGTAGAGGTTCTTAATGCAACAGTTCTAAAATATTTTGGTCTTAAGATGTCTTTAAATCTTAAAAATTACTAAAGAAAAATTTTTCCTTTGGATAATATCTACCAATATATTATATATTAATTCATTTAGAAATAACAATAAATCTACATGTTAACATAATATTTTTATGAAAAATAATACTTTTCCAAAAGAAAAAATTAAAGAAATTACTAAAATTTCTTTAATACTAAAACTTACTAAAAGAAAATTACTAAAGAAAACTTTTTCATTTGGATAATATATATCAATACTTTATATATTAATTCATTTAGAAATATTAAATCTACATGTTAACATAAGTAACATTTTTATGAAAAATAATACTTTTCTAAAATAAAAAATTATAATAAGAGTCATTGTTTTAGATTTTTGCAAATCTTTTTAATGTGTGGCATAAGGGAATACATACGCTTCTACATTCAATGTTAAAACATCGCATGTCATATAGTCTCTGGAAAACACCACTGTACACTCTTGAGAGAATGAGAGTGAAAAATGATAATATAATCATGAAAACTGTCTTGACTCTAAGACCCAGGAAAGGGTTTTAGTCACTCCCAGGAGTCCTTGGACCACAATTTGAGAACTGTTGTCATAATTCCTGGTATAAGGAGCATTCACTGGTCTATAAACTCCCTGAGTTCAGAAGCCACTTTTTTCACATGCTGTATTCCTAGCATAGAAGCTAGTGGTTGGCCCGCAAAAAAGCTTCGTAAGTGATTGCTCGTCGGACTGATTTTTGACCTCTGAATTTAAATACTTCACAGACTTTATTTAAGTTTGTTTCAGGTTTTTCATACAACTTTATCAACAAGCTGTTTTGAAACAAAAACGTTTTTAATAGCATTTGCATTCTAAAGCACTTATAAGTGGAGCAGGAAAAAAATAATAAAATGTAATAGATGGCTTCTGTATTTAAAATGAACAAATTAAAATAAAAGCAAATTTGCCTTAAACATTATGTTTACATTTTAATATTACTTGCCAAAATGTGCCAGTCAATTGTGTTCTCTGAGACAACTTTTAGCAGGAGACATGATTCCTCTTATTTACCAAGAACTATGGTCAAATTTAATTCTGATTTTTAATTATAAACAGTATTGGTTTATTCCCTCATCACTCAGATAAAACATAATAGAATCTTGTATAATATTTATGTATACAAATTCATTTTATCAATATATTTTGCTATATACTCATAAAATGGTCCTATGCCTTTTCTTAATATTGAGACAATATTTGAGTTTAATTTACTTACCTTGGTGCAAATTCATCAATTGTCAGGCCAGCTTGGAGCCCAGTTCTACAGTACTCCAATCCATCTGCTATAGTATAGGCCAGTTCCAGAATGGCATCGGCTCCTGCTTCCTGCATGTGATATCCACTGATTGAAATTGAATTAAATTTTGGCATGTGCTACATAAAATAACAACAAAAAAACACAATGAATAAAAATACAAAAAGATTCTATTAAGCCTACTTTCTAAAAGACAGTATTATTTTTAAATGATATTCAACTCAAATATACTAAGTAGCTTATAATATTAAGTGAAAATATTTAATGCTTACTTTATTATAGTTAATTCATTTTCCAATTTAAATGACTGATTCAATGAACCATCATAAGGACTGAACCCGTTTTATTTTTCTAGACAAAGGAATTTGCACCAACCATTCTTTAGCATGAAAAGTTTACTTCGAAATTAGCTGGCTGAGGTCAGGAATGTAATCTTTATCCTGAGAACTGAATGAAGACATCTTTAATTCAAAATCAATGACTTCGACCTCATGAGAGGTTCTAAGGCCTCATAACTTTGGGCTAATATGCTGAAGATGTATAAATTTAATTATTATTTACTAGTTATTAACTATTTGAATGAAGTCATCGAACATGAATAAATGCAGGAAGAAAAAAGGAAAATGATTCAATTCTTAGTACTGTATATTGAAAGAAAATAGGATAAAACATATGGCTTAAAAATCAAAGATTTCAGTTTGATTTACTATGACATTTAATGCTAAACATATTTCAGACAGATTTTCTATCATAACCACTAAAAAATAGCATTTCCACTATTCCCCTAAAATTTCATGGTAGGTAAAGCATATATCACAAATATTCTGCAGAGCCAAAGAATTATTATCCTTCCCCAAAATTAACCACACATAAATAATAAAAAATAAATAACAGAAACTCAATACAGTGGTTAAGAACATGGGCTCTGCAGTCAGAGTGCTCAAATTCTAGCTGTCAAGTTAACTAGCTATGAGACTGTAGGCAAGTTTCTTAACCTTGTTATCACTAGGTTTCCTAAAGTATAAAATACAGATAATAATGGTACCTTTCTCATGGAGTTATAGGATTAAATGAAACAATTCATCTAAACTACTTAGTATTATGCCAGTACGCGGGGGAAAAAAAAAAACAAAAAACAAAAAAACAACAAAAAAAGAATAGTTGTTGTTAGCATATGATATGAATTATCTGTATTTCACTTTGCAAATATTTTATTTATGACTAACCAAAAGCTCTTTAAAAATATTCCGTCGCAAAAGTAATATGGGGAGTGAGTTACACGGAACTGAGATATTACTTGAGTATATTTGGAGTCTACAAATAAAAAGCAAGGAAACCAACAGGTGCTTCTCTATCAAACTCGTAGTAAAGTTCTTTAAGAATAATAGAAATACTAGAATACTGAAATATCATTCAGTTTTAAAAAGGAAATTCCGATACATGCTACAACATGGATGAATCCTAAGGACTTAATGCTAAGTGAAATAAGTCACAAAGAGACAAATACTGTATGATTCCACTTATATGAGGTACTTCGAGTAGTTGAATTCATAGACAGAAATTAGAATGGTAGTTATGTGGGAAGTGAGGCAGAGGAAGGGAAGAATGGAAAGTTATTATTTAATAGGTACAGAATTTCAGTTTTGCAAGATTAAAAGAGCTCTGGAGATGGATGGTGGCGATGACTTCACAACGATGTGAATATACTTAATGCTGCTGAACTGTACATTTAAAAATGATTAAGATTCTAACTTTTATGTTCATGTGTATGTCCATTGAGATATAAAGTAGAAATTTGGGTTGTTCCTTCTGGAAATTCACCTTTAATCAGAGGAGCTGGGTCCCTTTCCTCACACAAACACACCTGGCCCACCAACTTCCTTAACCATGAGCTGGCACACTAATGAGAGAGAAAAAGCAAGATGAAAGGATACTGGAACTCTGATGACTGTGGTGGTTGCATACAACAAAGTCCCTGACAGCCCACCTTACTTCTTTTACATGTAAGAGAACTGCCTCCTATTTAGTTTAAGCTACTGCTATTTGTGTATCTGTGTTTGTCATATGCTGCTCAATGCATTTCTCCTGTGCATGTTCTTGAAATCGAAAAGGTGATAGAAATGTACAATTCTATACAATTCATATGGGCAGATGGAATGTATGAAAATAAAATTGCAAAATGTAAAGGCTAACTATAAAATGAGGAGAGTAGGCAATGCTTGCAAGAGTTCTGAGATAATAGCAATTATAAAAGGTGAAAGAGATAAAGGTCTGGTGGTGGAGGAGAGATTTGCCCTTTACTATGAAATAATGGTCTAACTTTAGAGTTGGTAAGAAGGAGAGCATTTCCAGCAAGAAGCAAAGTGTGAATGACTGGGGAAATACACATGAATTACTCAGAGGAAAATAAAGCTCTAATTTCCCTGTGGAGGGACTGCTGTTAATATAAGAACACTATAAGATCCTTATTTTCCTACCACTCTGATTAGGGAAGATGAACCTAATTCAGGGGTGAACTATTAGGGACCTCGTTGTGGTTGCAGATATAAGTGATATCTTCTAATCTAGTTTTTAGCAAAAATAAAGCTAATATTTTGATTTCCACCTTTCCATACCAGTGTCTATTCACAACTGAATGTGAACTCCAAAGAGAAGTAAAGTATAAATTATGAGCCCTCCCTGATTATAACAATTATCAGAGAATAAAAATTTTAATGATAAAGAAAAAATAGTAAATGTCTAGTGTCCAGATTCTACAGGTAATGACAGACCATAAAATTACTACATTAAAGACCAAAAACTAAAAACTAAAACTATACACACACAAAAACAAAACAAAACAAACAAAAAAATCCACACCCTGACTTTATACTACAGCTGTTACGACTCAGTTACCAAATTCAAATTAGGTTATGGTATTTTACAAAATTCCCCACATTCAAAGACCTACAGAAAAACTTATAATAACCACAAAGTATACCTTTGCTGTATATTGGAAGATGTCAGCAATAATTTTCATGGATGGTTCTGGAGGAAAAATATAAGTATTTCTGACCATAAACTCCTTTAGAATATCATTTTGAATTGTACCCGTAAGTTTCTCTTTAGGTACACCTTGCTCTTCTCCAGTCACTATAAAGTTTGCAAGAACTGGAATAACTGCTCCATTCATGGTCATGGAAACTGACATTTTTTCTAAAGGAATTCCATCAAAAAGAATTTTGGTATCTTCCACAGTGTCAATAGCAACTCCGGCCATTCCAACATCACCACGAACTCGAGGGTTGTCTGAATCATAGCCACGATGTGTTGCCAGATCAAAGGCAACTGATAATCCCTGCTGACCGGCTAAATGTACAAAGAAAAAATAATGTAGGATTAAAGAGTCTGGCAGATAAATAACTTATTTATCTATCACTAGTAAAAGTGTTGATTCATCTAATCATAGTATACTTTTATAACAAAAATATTTTTGTGCTCATACGTGTCAAAACAAATATAACTACTTTATTTCCTGAGAGTCAGTTGTTTCCCATATGCTAAAATATAAGAACTGAGTTCCAGAACTCGCTATAAGGATGAAAGGAACAAAACCAAACATCTCACTTATCTCAAGTCCATCTGAGGATTTTTTTTTTAATCTTTAACAGTTTTTGATAGAAATATTTTTAAGAGTCGTAAAGATCCGGCTATTTATATATAGTTAACATATTTTAGTATTTATATGTTTGTATACTTATTTTTGTTCTTTTATTTAATAGTTATTAGAGGATGTCTTGGCTATTCAAATATTCTGAGAAACGACTATAAAAATCATGTGAAAAACTAAAATATTCTACACTAATTATAAGTTCAATCCTCTATGGCCAATACAAACTTAAAGAACCACAAGTTTAGCATTCAACCAATATGGTTTTATTATAGATCAGAAAGAAAAAGTAAGTATGATTTTCAGAGAATGAATGCCAGATTACACTGAATATATTTGTACCATATTATTATTTATTACTTTCTTTGGGCATCATTTAAACCATTTTCTCCTCCGATTCCTATTCTAACAATGTTAAAAGTTTCTCAAAGGATAAGCCGATGTCTCTTTTCTTCATACAACTTCACCTTACCTAATTTCTTTTGTATACAAATGTACACAATGTATACGTAAGTATTTGCTTTCAAGAATTCAGTATGTTATTCTGGCTCACCTATCTTTTGACCATGAAAGTTGAAAAACATTCCTTTTATTCAGAGTATAATCCAAACTACAAAATTATAAAATGACTATTACCTATATAGAGATTAACCAGCCTCCCCTCAGAAAAAGCCAAAATTAGAAAGTGTTTGCTTATAAATATTATATCTCATATTAAAATCTCACCTTTAATATTGTCCTTATAGAACCTATTGCTCTCTTCGACAGTACTAAAGCCAGCATATTGGCGGATGGTCCAGGGCCTAAAGGTGTACATAGTGGGATATGGTCCCCGTGTGAACGGCTCCACTCCTGGAAGTTCTTCAGGTAAATCCTTGGTATCCCTGCTGGAATATAAGGGCTTTATGGAGATTCCTTCTGGGGTGCGCCATATTAGGTCTTCTGGATTTTTGCCTTTCAGCTGCTTTTTAGCAAGGACAGCCCACTCTGGGTGAAGGGGTTGTTGCTGGTGTAGAAGTCGCTGCCATAAAACCCTGGAGACTGATGACTCTTTTAGTTGCTTCAAGTGATGAGGTGAAAGCAAAAAGAGCCGAGTCTTAGCCCTCAACATGATGGAGCATGGAAAACATCAAACAGAAACAAAAACTGACCTAGAAAAAGAAGCACAGTGTATATTATTAATTTACAAGAGAAAGGCAAAATGGGAACTATTGGTGAGAAAAGAGAAGGAAGAGGGTATAATAGTATGATTTCATCTCTTCTCCTTTCCTGCTTCCTGTACCTGATATTTTATAACTTTGGCCCCTGTTCTCCACTACTACTATTATTCTATTCTTCTCCCTCAATAGTCTCTTGGTTGGCCATTCTTAGCCCCCTCTAATCTATTCCACATACTGACACCAATACAACTCTGATGTCACACTTCTCTTAAGATTTTTCAAAGGCTCTGCATCATGTAGATGATATAATATATAGACTCCTAATTGATTGTTTTCCATTCAAAAAGTTTTCATTTAAAACTTACTTTATGAAAAGCATCAGGGTGGGTGCTGGAGAAAAAAGTGGTAAACAAGACAAACAGGCATTCAAGCCCTCTGTGACCTGATCCCTGTTTATTTCTTAGATTCATCTTTGTCTTTGTCCTCTATGTATTTTGTATTCTAGAAATACTAAATTACCCACAGTTCCCTGCAAATGGCAAAATTCTATGACCTGCTCTTGCTCTTCCACCTGCCTAGAATGACTTTGGTTAATTCATCATCTTCAATATGCAGGGCTTTCTATGGGCCAGGCACTGTTCTAAGGAATTTATATAGAGAGTAACAATTTAACAATTTTAATTTTCACAATAAAACCAAGAAAAAGGTACAATTACTATCCCCATTTATAGACTAGGAAACTGAGACACAAAAGAGCCAATATCTGAACATAGGCAGTCCCATTTCAAAATCCTTGCATTTAACTAATATACATACTCACAGCCTCTCCCTGAATCCACAAGCTGGGCTGAATGGCCTCAATAATCTACAGTATTCTGTTTCCCTGTTTATACATCTATAATCTCCCACATGACGATATATTAGACTACTTTCTTATGCTTATATAAAATACATTTAAGATCTATTTAATATTTATATAAATACATGTATATAGCATCATATATACATCTCTCTCTATATTAAATGTATCTTCTATGCTAGTCTATACACTGTTCTGACATTAGAGCTGTATATTCCCTATAACTAGCACAGAGTCCTACACTCGGTGTCTAAGTCTGATTATGTCTGATTTCATCATTTTACATATGAAGAAATTAAGGTCTAGAGAAATAAAGAAATAAAGTAGCTTGATTAAAATGCCACACAGCAAAGCAATAAACTGTTCACCTGAATTACTATTTGTTAGAACCTAGTATTTTAAAAGATTTCGAGATGTAAATTTTATTAATATATATACCATGCCATAGTGTTTTATAGTAGATAAGTCAATAAGTAATGTGAGCTTAAAATTCTATTTTCCATGCCATTTCAACTTAGTAAAGCTTAAAAGAAAATAAAAATACCCAACTTTTGTTAGCGGGTTGTGAAAAGACATAAACCATGGGTAGGAGTAACTGGTTTAACCACTTCGGAAAACAAACTGGCAATCTGCACTAAAAGTCTCAGAAACAATTGTGCCATTTCAATGAGGAACACCACTCCTGAGAAAGTTACTACATAAACGTTCCCTATAGTTTTACTTCTAATAAATAAAACTTAGAAACAGCATCAACAATGTAAGATGACTAAGTAAATTATAGTATATACAAATGATAGAATTTTATGTAGCTATTAAAATGTTTTTTAAAAATAGGCATCTAATGTGATGTTAGAAGTCAGAAGAATGGTTACTTATGGTCACTAATACGGAAAGGGAGCAAGAGAGGAGCTTTTCAGGTTATGATCTTGATCTGAATGCTGATTATGTAGATGTATTCAGTTTATGGAAATTTGTCAAACTGTACAAGCATGATATCTGCAGTTATTTGTAAGTATATTATACTTAAGTTAGAATTTAAAATGTTATGCATAGTTTCTTTAAAAAAAGGAGACGGGTTCAAAAAACATTAAGAGAATCAGGATAAAAAATTGTAAATACAATATGTTCGACTAGGTAAAAAGTACATAAAGTCTAAATGGAAATACAACAAAAACAATTCCCATTATTTTTTTAAAGCTATTATGATTTTTATTCTTTTAAATCCATAGGGTCTTTGTCATCCATCCTCTTGTAAGCCATACACTACATGTACTAGTTTAAAAAGTGGGTAAGAAAAACAATTGTATTATAAACGAACCATTAGGATTATAACGATATAAAAGGTAATTTGAAAACTACCTGAGACAATATTATAGACAGGAAATATCACATTTATTTCACATAAAATACTCATGAGGCTTTCTTAGACCTGAATAAATGATTAAAAAGAGCTCTACGTAAGTAACTTCCTGAAAACCGTATGGCAAATTGGTAAAGGCTGGAAATAAATATCGTTTTTAGATAACACAACTATTGATGGCAACAGGACTTTTAAACTTTCTCAAAAGATCCATCGAGAGGCTTCAAGCATCCAAAGAAGCATCATGCAAAGCAAATAACTTTTCAAGTTTTGACTGTTTACATGTAGCTCACATAAATATTCAAGAACTAGCCACCTCCAACGTTCAGTCAATTTCGGTTGGAGATGACAACATAGAGCATGCAAATTAAATTTAATATTAGCATGAATAAGTCAGTAAACATTAGGAGAAAATCATCAAATGAATTAAAACTTTACATACACTATCCATGGTTTCAAGCTTCTGAATGACTGTTCTCTAAATAAAACTGAGAACTAGTAATTTTCAATTTTATGTCAATTTAGACCTGTCTTACTCCACCTCTCACCTACCTCCGCCAGTATACTGAAGTATCGTCGCCTCTTACAAAAAAACCCTCACACAAACATGTGGAATAAACGCACCCGTCTGGAATCTTACAAGAAGTGACCCATGCCTAAAGGAATTTCAGGGAGATTGGGTGACCAGGGAAAATGGCAACGTGGCCCCTGAGGCGTTAAAAGCACCTTCTATCCAACAGTCCCTCCGAACTCCCGAGGACCTCACTCGTCGGTGGAGAATCAATATCTAAGAATAAGGTAGAGGAGAGCGGGATCCTGTCACAATAGGAAGGTAAAGAAGAAGGAAGTTGGGAGGATAGAGAACAGAGG